GGGATGCCGTGCAAGCCCCAGCTCCAGGAGTCATGGGATTCGGGGCTTGCAGGGGCGGGGGATGGGAAATGGGGAGTGGTGCTGGGGGCAGATGTCATGGGTTGGAGCTTTTTGGTGGGGAGGGGGCTCAGGAGTGGGGATTGCCCCTCCTGCAGGAGCTGGGGGTCTCCCAGGCTTTGGGGCTCTGCTGAGCGCCCCCCGCTTTCAGCTCCATAGGTCGGGGGGGTTTAAGTCCCAGCCCGGCACCCATGGGGGAGGCCGTGCCAATGCTGCTGGCACCAAGCCCGCAGGGTCCTGGCTGGGGGATCAGCCCCTGCTGCACTGGGGCAGGAAGGGGTTTCCCCCCTTGCTCAGACACGGGGGTTTTGCCTTCCTCTGCCGTGGGGGCAAAGCCTCTGTTTGGGGGTCTCTCGCACCCTCCTGCTCAGGGAGATTCCCACTAGCAGCCCGCGGTACGGGGCACGAGACACACGCCAAGCAAGCACGTTGGCACCCGCGACCCTCTGCAGCAGGGTCGGGCGCAACGTCCGGGGCTGCGGCAGGGCGGGCGGTCATCTCCCGCGGGGTTTGTCTGGGGCTGATCCTGCCTCGGGCTGGGGTCGGACTCGGACTCGACGTGACCTCCGACCTAGTGCTAGCCGGGTCGGTCTCGCCGGTACAGCTGTCCCTGCTCTGGGCCCCGTGTGTGCATGCGCGTTGCAGGGGGTATTCCCCAGAGGTGGCTGCATCTAGGGACCCAGCAGATCACACCGCCCCCTCCCGTTGGCACTAATTAGAAGGGGCTTCTCTAGTCTGGTAACTCGTTAATCCTATAACGAGAGGGGACTCCCCCCGGCTGCAGCTTGGAGCCTGGTTGCAGGCGGGGGGGCGGGGTATCACCCTGCTAGAGCCACCCACGCCTGCCCTCGCGGGGAACCCAGGTGTCCTGGCTCCCTGCCCCCCCTCCGAACGTGGGGGGGAACATACGGCTGGTCTCTATGGTGATGGAGCAGTCCTGAAATTACACACCGGCGGTTCCCTGGCAACCGTGCAGCCCTGGCGACCAGTGTGATGGACACTGCGGCTCCCAGAGCCGGCGTGGGGACCCCCCCCCACTCCCCGCTGTCTGTGAGGTGCAGCTGGGGGGGTGATGCGGCTCCGGGCATCCTTGGGTAGGGGGCATGTGCCCCCCCAGTCTGTGCGGGGGGCCAGGAGGTGGGTGCGTGGCCAGAGCAGCGGGGGTCTGGGGTGCAGGCCCCTCGCAGTCGTGGAGAGTCCATCTGTCTGCCCAGTGCCTCCAGCCTCGTCCACACTGTCCGTCCGCCCGCCCGTCTGGCTGTCCAGCCTCATGCACCTCCATCCATCCATCCATCCACCCTCTCGTCCATCCGTCCCTCCGCTCCTGCCCTCACTCGCCCTAACCCGCCCTGCCGTCTGTCTGTCTGTCTGTCTGTCCGTCTGTCCATCCAGCTGGCTATCTCCCTGCCTGTCTAGCTGTCTGTCTGTCTGTCCATCCATCTACACCGCTATCTGTCAACCTGTCTGTCCATCTCCATAGGCCTCCATCCACCCGCTCCCCCATCCGTCCGTCTGTCCGTCCATCTTTGTGCCTTCATCCACCCACCCCCTCCTCTACCTGTCTGTCTGTCTGTCCAGTCATCCAGCCCGCTATCTAGCTCTCCATCTAGCTGTCTGTCTCTCCATCGGGATAGTCCGTCCGTCCATCCATCCCTGGGGGTAGCCTATCCATCTGTCCATCCACCCACCTGCCTCCCTGCTTCCCTGTCCAGCCCCGCCCGTGGCCGCGGTTTGGGGGCCCTGCCCCCCTGCCGGGAGGCCGCCGCAGCGCTGGGTAATTGATTTCTCTGCTTCGTGTCAACATGGGAGAGCTCGCGGTTGGTTGCCATGGAGATCCATCCCGGTCCCCACCCCCCGCACGCAGGGAGGTGCCGGCATCCCGATGTGCTGCTCCCCTCTCCCCCCCCCCACCGTCCCCATTGGGGGGGGTCACTGGGACACCCCTTGGATGGGGGTGGCAGAGATACGGACACACAGACCCCCCTTGACCTCCCAGCAGCGGACCAGAGGCCCGGCGGCTCCATGCACTCCTCTGCCTGGAGAGAATCCCCCCTCGTGGCCTGCAGTACAGGGCACAGGACACAGCAGTAGGGGGCGGCCTGACGCCGATCCTACAGGGGTCAGAGGCCAGGGTCAAGGCACCAGGCTGGGGCCAAGGAGACTTGAAGTCAGGTTCCCACCTCTTCCACTGACTTCCTGGGCAGCCTTGGGCAAGTCCCTTCATCCCTGGACATGTGCAGCCCCCGGCGCTACCGTAATGCATGGAATAAATCCCCAGCAGCATCATGGCCCTTTGGGGGGTGGGATTGCAGGGGGCTCCAGGGTTTGGCTTGGGGGTTTGGCTCGCGATATTGCTGCCAGCTGCGACGAGGAGGCTAATGAGGGGGGCCCTGGATCGGTCCCGCTCCCCCCCACCCCGGCCTGTCCCAGCCTTCAGCGCTCCCCGCATCCTTCCTCGTGACTCATCCTCCAGGAGGCATCTGCTCCGCGCGGATAATTATTCCTCTCCTCCACCCACCGCTGTTATATAAAAAATAGACCGGGGGGGGGAGATTTCCCCAGATCTTCATATTCCGGAGCCGGAGCTGGTGGGGGAGGGGGGCGGATGCCTGCTTCTGCTGCTTCCCTGGGCCTCAGTTTCCCTCTGGGCTGGGCCTGGGGCCCCGGCACCCCCTGGGCTGAGGGGTCCCCCCACCCCCCAGCTGCTGGAGGCCTGCACCTGCTGCATGGGGGGTAACGGAGTACGGGGGGCCTGGCTGCTGGGGCCTGACTTTGCCCCCTCGCCCCCGCTCAGGGTTGGCTTGGAATGCGGCCTGGGCGGGTGCTGCAGAGTGCTGGAGGGAGGGGCGGGCGTGTGCGTGTGCATATCTGTGCATCCAAGTGTGTTCATGAACAGGTGTGTGTGTGTGTGTCTGTGCACACGCGCATCCAAGTGTGTTAATGCAAGGGTGTATGCACGTGTGCATCCAAGTGTGTTCATGCACGGGTGCGCATGCATGCGTGTGTGTGCATCCAAGTGTGTTCATGCACATTGTGTGCACGTGCATGTGTACATCCAAGTGTGTTCTTGCAAGGGTGTGTGTGTGTGCGTGTGTGCGCGCGCGCACACACGCATGTGTACGTCCAAGTGTGCATGCAAGGGGGTGTGTGTGTGCATGTGTGCATCAAAGTGTGTTCGTGCAAGGGTGTGTGTGTGCACACATCCAAGTGTATTCATGCAAGGGTGTGTGCACATGTGCATCCAATTGTGTTCATGCACGTGTGTGTGCTTGCATCCAAGTGTGTTCCTGCAAGGGTTTGTGTGCATGTGCACATGTGCATCCAAGTGTGCTCATGTGCACGTGCACATCCAAGTGTGTTCATGCAAGAATGTGCATGCATGTGTGCAACTAAGTGTGTTCATGCAAGGGTGTGTGCATCCGTGTGCATCCAAGTGTGTTCATGCATGTGTGTGTGTGTGTTCATCCAAGTGTGTTCATGCATGGGTGTGTGTGCATGCATGGGTGTGTGCGCATCTAAGTGTGTTCATGCAAGGGGTGGTATGTGTGTATCCAAGTGTGCATGTGTACATGTGTGCATCCAGCTGTGTTCATGCAAGGGGTGGTGTGTGTGTGTATCCAAGTGTGCTCATGCAAGGGTGTGTGCGTGTGCGTGCATCCAAGTGTGTTCATGCAAGGGTGTGTGCATGCATGTGCATGTATGTATCCAAGTGTGTTCATGCAAGGGGTGTGTGTGTGTGCAAGTACACCCCATGTATGCATGCCTGCCAGTGTGTGTCTGTGTGATGTGTGTGTGTGTGCAAGTGGATGTGTCCCTGTGTGTGCAAGTGCATCCATGTGTATGTGCCTGAAAGTGTGTGTTTATATGATGTATGTGTCCCCTTGTGCATGCAAGTGCACCCATGTTTGTGTACCTGCAAGTGTGTGTCTGCATGATGCGTGTGTATGCAAGTGTATATATGTTCCTGTGTGCACGCACAGGTGTGTTTAGGCAGGTGCCTGTGGGTGTAAAAGTGTGTGTGTATGTCTGCAGGTGTGTTCATGCATGTGCCTATGTGCATGTGTCTTTGTGAGTGAATACATGCATGTGTGTGTGTGTGCTTGCAAGTGTGTCTGTATGATGCATGTGTGTAAGTGCATGAGTTCTCTGTGTGTGCGTTCATGCATGTGTGTATGCCTGAAAATGTGTGTCCGTGTGATACGTGTGTGCACGCAAGTGCTTGTGTGTTCCTGTGTGTGCATGCACACATGGAAGTGTGTTCATGCAGGTGCCTGCGGGTGTGAAGAGTGCAATGTGTGTGTCTGCAGGTGTGCGCGTGCACATCTGTGTGTGTCTGAGTGTGTGTGTGCATACATCTGCAAGCGTTTATCTGTATGATCTATGTTCATGCACATGTGTGTGTTCATGCATGCGTGCTCCTACAAGTGTCTGTGGGTGTGCAAGAATGCAGACAAGTGCGTGCATGTTGGTGTGTGCTCATGCATGTGTCTGGGCAGGCAAGTGTGTGTGTATGTGCGTGCAAGTGTGTGCATGCATGCATATATGTGTGCGTGCACATGCATGTGCGTGTGACAGAGCCTGGCTGCCGCCACCCACGGGACTGTGAAGTGTGGGGGGGGGGCAGCATGCTGTACAGTGCTGGGGGGGGCATCACGGGAATCCCCCCACTCGCAGCAGTAGGGAAGCCTGACACATGGTTGAGCAGCCCTGGTGCCTGGCAGCGGGGTGTGTGGGGGGGTCCAGGTCACGCCAGGCCCAATCCTGACCCCCGCCCCTCCCACCCCCGTCCCGGCAGGAAGACGCTGCAGGTGAAGATCGTGGACGACGAGGAGTACGAGAAGAAGGACAACTTCTTCATCGAGCTGGGGCCCCCGCGCTGGCTCAAGCGCGGCATCTCGGGTACGGGCGCCTGGGCAGCGCCGCGCAGGGGGCGGAGCAGAGCCAGGGCTGGCAACCAGGACACCTGGGGTCTTCTGTGGCTCTGGGGGGGAGCGGGGGGTGTCCCTGGGTCAGGCCCAGGGCCGGGATCTCAGGTTCGGGGGGGGGCAGGGGGTGCATCCGTGTCGGTCAAGTCCTGAGGCTGGCAGCCAGGACGCCTGGGGTCTTCGTGTGGTCCGGTGCCAGGATCGGGGCCGCCGGCTGGCACTGGCGCGTGCTGACGGCCTGCTCTCTCTCCCTCTCTCTGCAGCCCTCCTGCTCAACCAAGGTGAGGCCCCCCCTGTGCCTGCGCCCTCGCCCGCGCCCGGACTCCCACCGCCGGGCCTGGGGGGCGCGGGCAGTCCGGCAGGACGTGGAGCCGTGCCAGGCCCCGCTCGGGTGTGCGTGGGCGTGAGGAGCACCAGGAGACGTGTGTGGGCGGGAGAGAGAGTGCGTGCGAGTGCGGGGGCGGGCGCCGGAGTGTGCGCGGGAGGGCGAGAGCCAGTGTGCGTGCGTGTGTACATGCTGTGGGGATGTGTGCTTGCATCTGTGTGTACCATGAGGGTGGGTGAGGGTGTGGATGTGTGGACACCAGGGGTCTGTGTGTGTGTTCGTACTGTGGGGATGTGTACGTGTGTGTGTGTGTGCGCATCATGTGTCTGTGTGTGTGTACTATGGGGATTGTGTGTGTGTGTGTGTGTGTGTACAGTGGGGGGCATATGTGTGTATACCATGGGTCTGTGATTCTGTGTGTGTGTGTGTGTGTGCGCGCACACACATGAATTCATAGACTGTGGGGTTGTGTACGTGTATTTGTGTGTACCATGTGTCCGTGCATGTGTGTATACCACGGGGATACGGGCATATATAGGTGTGCGTGCATACTGTGGGGATGTGTGCATGTATTTGTGTACACCTTGGCGGGGGTGTCCACGTGCGTGTGTATACACTATGGGGATGTGTGTGTGTGTACGTATCCTGTGGCAATGTGTCTGTGTGCGTGTGTACCGTGGGGATGTGTGCATGTGTATGTGCCATGATGACGGGCACATGTGGATACCCAGGGGCAGCTCCCAGCTGCGTCCCCACCGGGGCAGGAGACACCTGGGCTGGGCCCTGCTCCCCGCCCGTCTCCGTGCCTCAGTTTCCCCAGCGTCCCACCCTCCGCGAGTGGCAGATCCGGGCAGGGGCTGGGGGCTGGCGCGGGGGTCCCGGCGAGGCTCAGGGTGCGGTGCCCGCAGGCGAGGGCGACAAGAAGCTGTCGGCGGAGGAGGAGGAGGCGCGGCGCATCGCCGAGATGGGCAAACCGGTGCTGGGCGAGAACTGCCGCCTGGAGGTCATCATCGAGGAGTCCTACGACTTCAAGGCAAGGGGGGGCCGGACGCTTGGGGTCTTCCCCCAGGTCTGGGGGGAGTGGGGGCTGGAGGGGAGTGGGGCCTGGGGGGCGAGAGCAGGGTTTGGGGAGCCCGGACGCTGGTGCCCCCGGCGCTGACCCGCCGCCGCCCCCGCAGAACACCGGC